ATTAATATTTTACCCATAATATTTTACCCAGCGCGTGAACAAATTCTACTGCCGAAAATACTTGTGAGGCGTCTATTTCTCTATTCTGACTAATTCGAGGCGCAGCCCCTCTATACACCTGAGTCTCACGCGCCAACTCTTGGGTTGTCATCTGTATGTGGTATGTGGAATTTGGGGTTCGACAATTTGGGAGATTAGAAACGTTGAACTTGGAGTTTGGACGCTTATTCAGAAGTGTAGAAATTTGGCTTATGGAAATTTAAGAGCTTGTATATTTAGAAAAGTAGAAATTTCGACTTATGGAAATTTGAGAATTTGGATATTTAGAAAAGTAGAAATTCGAGCTTGTGGAAATTTGAAAATTTGGATATTTAGAAGGGTAGAAAATATGTCTTCTAGAAATTGACAAATTTAGATATTCTGAAATGTAGAAATTTGAGCTTATAAAAATTTGAGAACTTGGGTATTTGAAAAAGTGGAAATTGGGGCTTATGGAAATTTGACAATTTAGGTACTCAGAAAAGCAGAAATTCGAGCTTGTAGAAATTTGAAAATTTGAATATTCAGAAGTGTAGAAATTTGCCACCTTGAAATTGACAAATTTAGATATTCAGAAGTGCAGAAATTTGCCTCTTGGAAATCGGAAAATTTAGATATTCAGAAACTTAGAAAACCTATTAGAAACATGACAATTTATACAGAATTCTAATCAAATAAATTCTGACCAATTTATACAGAACCAAGTATTCTGAATTATAATTCTTTTAAACACCTAAGTCACGCGCCATCTCGTGGGTTATCATTCGTACACCTATACTGGTATCTACAATAATTAACAAAACTCACCTAACCCAATGAGGTATAGTAACGGGTTCCCCATGTACATTTTCCAAGCCACATTCGATCGATTTATTTAACACATAATCAATCGATTTTTCCAACACATCGCTGCCGTATACTCTCGGTCCAAACGTGTCAACGAAGTATGCTAATTCGTTCCAGGTGACATTCTTGAAGGATCCTACGGTTGCCTCGTTTATTATATTTTTGACGATCGGGGCATACGAATCTATTTCCTGCGCCAATTTCGGTGGCAGTTGACATGTGCTAACGTCTACTTCCACAAGTTGTGCAGACGCAATTTGTGCTCGAAGGAGCCACGTGACGATAAGAAGTTTTACGTAGGATAACATATCGAACGATATTAAATATTTACGTTCGGGTGAAAGCGATGTTTTGTACTGAAAATATCATTTTAATCAGTTTTAGTGATACGGTTATGTATTACATTTGTTGACTGCGAAAGTTTATGCAAATATTTTTTTATTACAGTATAATATTTTCATGCAATGTTTTTTTCTTGTTGTAAATGTATTTCTTTGTGGAGATCAGTTTTCGGTCAGAGATCGGTTTTGTTTTTTAATTTGTACATACTTGTTCAGTTTATGTAATCTTAGGCATATTGTACAGTAAGTATTTAGTTACTTTAACACTAAACCTACCACCATACAATGTGTACTTAATTTGAAATTAAAAAATAAATGAACAAACGACGAAACATAAATTAGTACACACATTTATTTATTCTTTATCTTGATTAAAATCAATTCTGATTTCAAGAAATGTATTTTAACAAAATATGTTCCTTATAATAAGAAGCTGGTTTGGTAGTTTTAGTGTTAATATTACTAATAATAATGATATTACTTGTCGCGAGGTAGGTTAGGTGTGAAATGAATAAATATTACTCGCAACAGTGTGTTTGCAAGAGGTAAGGTGTTTTAATGTGAACTATGGAGACTATGTGTGATATTACAGAAATGCTATTGAATACAATGTTACGGAATCAGTATAGAATGTTCGATGATGCAGAATCGGAGGCTCGACTGATTATATCTGTTTTGACGCCCTTCCGGAGGCTCGACTG